CCGCCAGCCCCGGCGCGCCGCCCCCCTCGCAGAAACCAGCCGCGTAGTGCCGGGGGCCGCCGCTGCAGCGGGCCAGCACTGAGTGAACTCTATTCCCCCTGAAGACACCGATGGACGCTTTGGTTTTGACTCTCAAACAGTGCGAGCCCCGTTGAAGCCTGCAGTTTGGTCAATAAAGAAAAGCGCATCAAACCGAGGCTGCCGAGTTGCGTGCTTCCTGTACTGGGGATGAATTGTTTTCTGGGCGGGGGTAGGTTTGCTGGTCCCCGCTTCACAGGACCTGCGGACCAAGGGGGAGGAAGACTGAATGGGAGAATTTATCCACTAACCCATAGCTTTTTTTTTTTTTTTTTAAGCTCTCTGGGGAACGTGTTTTTGATTCCTTTTGGGTGTCCAGGGCAAGTAAGGATTTTTAGTACGACATAGCCTACAATTCGGTACAGTCACAAGTCCCTCCACCAAACGAGGTGTGTGTAGGGGTCTATTTCTACTGAGGGAAGTGTTTCCGGGAAGGTTTAAATTCATGTAGTAAAATCAAGTTGATACTTTTAAGAAACACTAAGAGAATCTTGGTCTTGGTAAGGACAGCAACAATAGAATCTGCCATGGTGACAGCATAAACAAGTCGGAGGATGGCTGCTGTCCACCCTGGGTTCTAAGAAAATAGAAAACAAAATGACAAAATAGTTTCCCTTTCCTTGTCCTTCAAAATGGAGAAAATGAGAGTTTGTAACACAGGTTCACCCTAACACCACTGAATGGCAGCGAGAGTTGGGGTTGGGGGTCAGTGGGCAACACCAATAGCCCAGAGGGTTCCTCTGGGAATCTTGTGGGTACCACTAACTTCTTAAGGCAGGAACAAGAGAAAGGGGAAAGAGAAGGGTAGGGTTTGAGGAATGAGGCCATTATCTCCAGGGCAGAGGCTTCCTCTAGGACTTGACCCCGGTTTCCCCATGCCTTGGCCTCTGGAGGCCAGGGGAACGTCCAGACTGGCTACTGGGAAACCCAATGTGTATGTTCCGAGGTGCTTAACTCTGCTTTTGATGGAGATTTCAAGTACAAAGGTGTTAAAACAACTCAGGTTCTGGAGACATCAGCTCTTGGCTGAGACAGCCACCTTAGTGGAACTCCACTTAGTGGATTCCTCATGTTCTATGGCACCTAAGCATGAGTCCCCTTAGTGGGCAGTCTCCAGTTCACATTCTGCACTTGGAGGTGGGTGGGAGGTGAGGAATGCATTAGAAGTACAGTGTTATTATCTGTTGCTATGTAAACAATCATCCAACTCCATAGTTTAAAACAACAACTAGTATCATACAATTTCTGAGGGTCAGGAAGGAGTCTCTGAAGACTTGACTGGGCTTGAAAGCTGGCTCACTTATCTGTACAGTTGTTTGCATGCGGGCTTCTATGACACAGCAGGGCTTCCACCAGAATGCCATTTCAAGAGAGGCCAAGATGGATGTCCTCTCGTGTAAGTAACAGCATCACTTGTGCCGTGTTCACACTGACCCAGCCTGGCACACTGTGGGAGGGCAACATGAAGGTGGAAATACTAGGGGGCAAGGATCATTAGGGAGCCCCCTGGAGGCCAGCTACCACACATGGTTCTGAAATAAGAATTTTCACACCTGATACTCAGTATCAAGTAATAAGGCATGTAAGGTCGTTGCCCACCTTCCCAAAGGGATGTCACAAAACGCTTGGTTTATAGTTGTGTGCTCATTACTAATGTGCATAAATCAGAACATGGGTTTGAGAAGTTTGTGGAAGAGATTAGTAGCCTTTAATACTTCAGATAATTCAGACTACAATGGAGTAATACAAACCAGTTCTTAAAGTTATAAAATGAATAACAAGATTTTTATTAAAACATTCAAGGATTTTTTTCCACTTCACCGAGTTTTACATGAATCGAGATTCATCTATTTTTAGGCATATCTTACAAAATGTATTTTTAAATTTGAATATATTTCAATAAGAGGTCACTGTCTGTTGAAGACATTTCAGAGCAGGTAGGTTTCTTTTAATTAAGCTGCTAAGGGAAAATGAGGTAATAACTGGTGATAATTTCCTATCGGTCTACATATATAATTTAGAGGTTAAAATGATCAGAGAAAATATTCAAAAGATGGCAACACCTCCACTCTAATACACTCTTGCTCTTATGCATCTCCTTTGAAACACACCCACTCGACAAAAAGACCTAGCCCTTCACTGCCTAGGGATCACTGTTTAAGCCATTTGAGTGATATTTTAATAAAAATGAGCCTTTCAAATCATTAGTGTAACAGTCATTTCATAGTCTCCCCAAATGCCCAAACATTCTAACCTTGGCAACTGAAAACTGTCTACAGATCTCTACCATGACTTTATGAAGCCAGTAACATTTTCTGAGTTAGCAGTGCTAGTTTTCTAGACGTTTTGGTCATTTCCTAGAATTCAGGTGTTTTATACTGAGTTTAATATGTCATATTGTCCTGGTAAAGCCAGGCAACTGCCTTACCTTTGCAACCATCTTTTGATGGCTGAAGTCATCTTTTTCTTGAATTTTTTTCAAAACTATAAAGTACATATTGTGTCCCAGGGAAAGACTCAGGGCAGACCCTATTGCTGGGTCCACAGTGAACCAGCGGCAGCTCCAGGCAAAAGGCCCGTGCTTACTGGGCTCCTTCCTGTGACCCTGAGGATTCACCAGCACCCTGGAGGCAGAGCTACAAAAAGGGAGGTGACAACAAATTACAGGAAATACCACGAGGTCTTGTAATTTGAATTTACATTTTTCAAGTCTCTTTAGTTTGAAACAACAATTAAAAAAAACCCTTCAGAATATACGAGTGCATTTATTTTTTTCCAATCAGATTTTATTGGTACATTTTAGATGTGCACAATGATCACATTCATCATAAAGAATTTGTTGTACCTGTACATGATATAACTTGATTCTTTTTTTCCCATTCCCCTCCCCATTTACAAAAGCAAGTGTACATTTGTAAAAATGTCATGTGAGAGTACACAAAATAGGAAAGGCAAATTCCTTTAACTACCCCACAGCCCCAACTGCCTTCATAGACCTAACACAGCAAAAAACCTTGGGAAAAGCACATGGCTGTTCAAACCTTAAATATTATAAAGTACATATAGTAGTACAACATATTCTGCACACTTAAACATTTTGCTGTTCTATGTATTTAGTTTTGGTAGAGCGGTGCTCTACCACTGAGCTACACCCCAGCCTTGCTTTTCTTATAGATCGGTGCATACTACTGCACTGCAGTACCATTTCAGTCTTTCCAGTAGTTGCATAACATCCTGCAAGCTGATGTTACACTTTACTCAACTGGTTCTCTATTAATGGCTGGTTAACTACGCTGCTACGCATGCGCCTGTGCCCATGTGCACAACTGTGTCCAAGAAATGCTAGGTTGATGTTTCTGTATCTGCTACATTTGCTTTAAAGTGTTTTAAAGCTCTCTCTGGCCATGTTTTCCTTTCTGTTTCAATGTAATGGAATGTTACCAGTATAAAGCCTTCTGAACAATACCTTTGACTTAATAGAGCAGATAAATAAGCCCATAAAATGACAGCCCATACATTATCATCCATGCCTTACAAATCTTTATATTCTCATCTACTTCAGGGTCTGGCACATGGTTGACATCTGAGAATGCGCTTGCTGGATCCTAGGAAAAACTAATGATGCAGGTGTAAAATGGAAGGGTTCATATCCCAAAGTTCCTAAAGTTAGAAATCAGGTTTCAAGTTGGTTAGTGAATCAAGATCCTATTTGATCCCACATTTTGTATCTCAGATCTAGAAGCTAGGAGATATTTCGTTCAAGTTTCTTAGTTTGGGAGTTTGCTAGATGTGTGAAAATTCTTACTTTACTACTGAAGTCTTTTCAAGGAACTCCATGAAATAATGGGGGAGAGAAAACACAAGGGCCAGGTTACAGCTCAGTGGTAGCACACCTGCCTAGCACACTCGATCCCCAGCCACACACGAGCACCAGACTGAAGACCAGACAGCAACTGGGAAGCAGGAAACAACAGGCACAGCTGCGCTCATCCAGGACTTACAGAACCATTTGAAGCGCATTTTGATGTAGAAATACATACCCCTTCCTCCCCCCGTTCTCTAAGGCGCCCTTGTGGGCTGGTTAACAGGCAAAGAAGCGCACTCATCTTCGCTCGGGTGCTGCACAAGGTGGTTCTGCCCCCTGAACGAAGGTCCACAGGGGACCTGCCCCGGTTTAGCACCACTGGCCTCGGCAATGCGCAGGTGGAGGGGAAGACGCGAGGGACGCCGACCCCACAGATCACTGCACCCAATGGGACAGAGCTTACTGCCGTTCGGGAACAAACAGGACAAAGTCAGGAGCAGAATACGTTTTGGGTAAAAGAAATAGAGGAAATATGAATGAATTTATTGAGTATTTGTTAGCCTAGGAGTACCTGTTACAAAAACTCCTAGGCTAACAGACGAAATCTTCAGCCAAACAAATACTCATCAAGCCCCCACGGGCCAGGTCCTGCACTCCACGCTGAAGATAACACGGCATGAACGAAAACAACCGAGCCTGCCTGCTGTGGACCTGACTTCACATGAGGGCCAGGTAAACAAGCCACCAGGCCCCTGACCCTGAGGTCTCCGTGACTACCCACTGCCCAGCCCTGCCCCCTAGCCTCAGGGGACTCCAGCCAGCTAAGAACAGTTCTGTTCGTCCCCGGCTGAAATGGCAAGAACATGGCCTTCCAGGCATGTTTCTCTCTTGCCTTCTTCCAAAAAGGAAGGGTTTCTAGCTAAACACTTCCACCATGGCCCTGATGTGGGAGGCGTTCCAGCAGCAGGAAGCAGGGACAGGACACGTCTGCCAGGGGCACAGAGCTCCATGTGAGTCCTTGGCACAGGCCTGGCCCGACCCCCTCTGCCAGAGGAAGCCAGGACAGGCTCTCCCCCCTGACATAGCACAAAGCCCCTGGGAGCCTGCAAGTGATAGCAAAAGGGGATCCAGGACTTTTCGACTGGTATACATTACATAGCCCCAAGTTTATGCATCTGAAGAAACTACCCCTGAGAGCCACAGGCAAATCCAGGACAACAAGAACTTGTCCTTTGGGTACAGTACTCTGGAAACTTCTTCCTCTGCAGAGAAAAGGATGCATGAGCTGGAAGCCACACTGACCATCACAGAGCATGCCTCGTTTGTGTCGAAGTGCAACCTAGGATGAAAGAGAAGGCTTTCATTTTCTGTATTGGAGGGGAAAAAAGTAAAACCCTGAAGATGCTTACTTATGTTAACCAGCATTCCTGCAGGAAACCAGCCAATTGCTGTTAATGCCACAGGAAGAGCTGAGCATCACTGGCATCATTTTGGGGCAGAGCGGCAGAAATGCTTGTTGATTATGGTATACAGGTAATTCACCCGGACCAGTCCAGTGACTTCAGGTGTATTTGGCTAAACAAACCTGCCAGGGAACTAATGCTGAATTACTTTACAGAGGTGAGAACCATTCACTAGAGTACGAGCACAAAGCTCAGGGGCCTTTGGAAATAACAAGGACATAGGGAAGAGAGCGAGACTGTGTGTTCACCATGGCTTCACATAAGAGAACAGACACCAAAGGGGCAAGCCACCCGAAGGGGCAAGTCCTGATCTAACATCACATGTCTCGGGGTGTGGTGGCACACGCCTGGAATCCCAGTACTCAGAGGCTGAGGCAGGAGGATCGCCATGAGCATGAGTTCAAAACCAGCCTGGGTGACACAGTGAGTTCAAGGCCAGCCTGGACTACATAGTGAGACCCTAGCTGAAAAACATCACAGGCAGGGGCTGGGGATTTAGCTCAGCGGCAAAGCACCTGCCTGGCAAGCGCAAGGTCGTGAGTTCGGTTCCCGGTACTGGAGAAAAACCAAAAAAAAAAAAAAAAAAAAAAAAAAAAAAAAAAAAAATCACAGGCCTAAACTCACCTCAGGCCTTCCCTTCAGGTGTCTGTCTCCCAGGCTCCTCTGAATCCAGTTTTTGATGCTGTAGGTGGAGACTGTCTAGCTTTTGAATATTTTCTGTAAGGCCATTTCTAAGATCCTCATTGTTTCTCAGAAATTCCTTTACCACTGCTAGTCGATTTGAGATCTGCAAGAGGAAATCATACAAAGCACAGTTTAGGACAAGTTTTGGAGCAGATTTCTAATTCCACAGAAAAGCTTAGTGGCTTCAAGGCTGGCTGCTGGGGCAGGCAGGGTAGCTCAGTGGTAGTGCACACGCTTAGCATGCAGAAGGCCCTGGGTTCCATCCCCAGCATGCCCCACCCCAGCAGAAGACTGGCTCCTGCTCATGTATCTGCCAAGAGACAGAAACCTTGCCTAATAGGCCTCTGTCCACATACAGGTTTAGGTTTGAAACCCAAAATCAGCCCTTCAGAGCAAGGCAGCCTCCACTCAAACCCAACAAGACTCAGGACAGTGGCCCTGAGACCATACAAGTGGGGGTTTGCATGTCTTCTGAAATTCTTTTTGCTTTAAATCTTCCTACGCCCGTATGCGCACATGTGAGTACACACATTCAGTGAAGCCCTCTCACTTTGAATTTGGGTTTGCCCATTTATTACTGTGAAATATATATTCATACCTATAAAATTAATACTAATAAATGTGCAGGCAAAAAACTGAAAATCAACAAGGTAACAATTAAGTCCTCTTCTCAACCCTGTCTGCAGTTACTCAGCTCCTGTGCTCAGAGGTGAACACGATGGTCCACCTCCTGTGCTTCTTCCGGAGACACCTCATGCATTTATTTCATTCCATTCCACCTTATTTTTTTCATGCGTTTATATGTAAGCACGTCTTTGGACATTTTTTAAAAATACAAGTGGCATTATACTACACATTGTTCCTCAACTGATCTCTCCTACAGGAGATCATCAAGAACAGTCTCACTGCTTTTTAATGGCTGAATAGCATTTCAATTATGGGTGCTTCATACTTTAACATATTTCAAACCTTCTGCTCTAATAATGCTGCTAATTAACCTGGTACAGTTGTTATTTTGCGTAAGTGACATCCTTGTTGTGGGGTCTGTTTTTAGAAGTGGAAGGCAGTTCTAATTCGGATCCAGTTTTCTGTTTAAATAGTCTCTGCCCAAACTGCCATGTATAGGGACTGACCTGTTCCTAAGCTGCCTTAGCAGCACGGCTCTCAACAGTCACGCCACTACACAGAGTCACCGCGGAATATGAAGGAAAAGCACGCACTAGGCTCGGTCCCAGAAGACCTCACTGGTCACTGTACTACATTTTGGGGTATGGTGAATGTTTTTTGATAGAAGCCCCACAACCCCAAGCTCAGCCCAGATTCTCTAAATTTGAGTGAAGAATAGTGCAGTGAGTGCCCTACCCCAAAGGACTGTGAGCTCTTACACTGCAGAAAGGGACACCACCGATTCCTTTGCGGTACGGTGAGGTCGAGCCTCAGTCAGCACTCGGGCTACCACGCTGTGACCGACGTCAGCAGCCAGATGCTGGCTGTCAGGGAGGAAGAGATGGGGAGGCTGGAGAGGAAAGCAGGGAGACAGCCAGGAGCTGAGGAGGGCAGGGACTCAGACTGCTTAGCAAGGTAGACGGGAGTCTCCCTCTGCAGAAGGCGCTGTCAGTTATGGGGCTTCCAGCCGGCCTCGTGCTCTGTGAGAGGCCTGGGCTTTGAGTAGTAACTTGGAAACCATGCAGAAGCGGAAGGAAGCCCAGACCAATGACATCACCCACGGCATGCATCAGGAACCAGGAGCGCTGTGCAGGGCTCTTGTACACGCGCCCGGTGTCCCTGTGGCTCCACCCAAGGCCCAGTGGCACTGGCTGGCTCTGCCCCCGGGACTTGTGGCCTCACAGTGCCCCCCTTGCCGCTGCCAGGCCGGTTCACTTGGGAGGAGCTATGATCCCTGTGCTGTCCCTCCGACCCTCTCCGCAGACCCTCAGAACTGCTCTGCTCCATTCCACGTCATTTCCTTTCTCTTTGCTCACAGTTTTATGCAGAAACCTCTGCTTGCCGTCACCAACTGCCCCGCTTTTCCCCTTCAATTCCCGCCACCCCGCGCTGTTCCCAATAGGAAGGAGCGCTCATAGTCCACATCCTCCCTCTGTGCAAAACAGAAACACAATCAATGCACTTAAGAGGTGTTCACAGCTTGCGGGGGAGACAGTCAAAGCAGGCTTTTAAAAAATGATTACTGGGGGGCTGGGGATGTAGCTTAATAGTAGAGATCAATACATGTGAGGCCCTGGGTTCCACCCCTAGCACTGAAAAAAAATCAGCAAATAAAAATTATTAACAAGAAGGGCTGGGCATGGTGGCACACACCTGCAATCCCAGCACTTGGGAGGATGAGGCAGAAGGATCGCCACAGGTTCGAAAGCAAGCTGGGCTACTCAGTGAGCTCAAGGCCAGCCTGCACTCCTTTGTGAGGCCCTGCCTCAAAACAAACCAAAAACAGAACAACAAGGGCTTGTGCTCATTTATATGTAAAGGAGGAATAGGAAGTACAGACGGAAAACTGAAAACACTTGAAAAATTATGAAATGCAACCACGCAGTCTTGGGACACTGAAGCCCAGCTTTGTCACTTCACAGCTATATCACTCTGATCAGGACATGTGACCTCTTAGAGCTCTTGGACTCATAGACTTCTGGGTTTACAGATTAAGAATGATACTAACTAATACCATCTACAAGTCTTGGGGAGGGGACCGGACGTGACGTACTAAGAGCACTCAGCGCTGGTCCAGGACATTCCCTCCTTCCTACATTCATTTCATAAGCGTTTGCTCTACTGACAGCCCGCCTGCTACATGCTGGTCCACTGGTCTAGAGAAAAGAGGCCAAGCACTAACTTCACCCTTCCAGCCACTTACTCCGAAGCTCCTGGCCACAGCCCCGCCTCCGGCCCCTCTTCTCTCCTCCCTGACCCCTCCTTCTCACAGGCGCAGCCTCACCAGCACCACACTTTCCCCTGGGCCGCACCCCCTCTCACCTCCTCTATGTACTGGCCTCCCACCGGGTCTCCCTGCTTTCATCTCAACACCATCGGGTGCCTTTGCTCCTGTCACTGTCACTTGCTAAGGATGGCCAGGTTCCAACCTCCAGACTAAGAGCCCGGGTCCTTCTGGAGGGCACGCAGCTCAGGAGGACTGTTATGGTTTGCGTCTGGGTGTCCCCCCAAAGCCTCATGCGGCCATGGGGCAGGCTTTTAGAGTTTGATTGATTATGGGTGTGAGAGCTACACCCGCCCTGGGGTGGATAGTTTGCATATGTAAGGGAGAGGAAGAGGCTGCTTGCGGCCATTCCTCCCTTGTGTGTGCTTGTTGCTTTTGCTGTGTTCTGCCGCCATGAGCTGTAGCCCTCTGCCATGTGTCACTCTGCCTTTTAACCCACCAAGTATGGACTGAAACCTCCACAAACTGTAAGTGAAATAAACCTTTCCTTCCTTAATTTTGGGAGTCAAGTATTTTGCCCCAGCAACGAGAGAAAAGTAACCAAGACAAGGACCCACTTGCTCTCCCTTGGCTTCTGACCTCACCCAGGATGGCGTTTCCTCTCCCTCTCCTCTCTCCAGGCTGCTCAACTTGCAGCTCCTGCCCGTGTGCGCCTTCTCCAGATGTGCACAGGACCAAGCTCCACTGCCTTCAAGGTCTTGGTGAGGCCACACAAACACCTGTTCCCAACTCTGCCGCCCGATCCCCTTCCTCCGCTCTCTGATGCATCACTCTTCCCCCTCCGCCCCACATCATTCCCACGCCATGCTCTCTCCCATGTGTTTCTTCCTACGAGATCTTTGTCTGCTGTTTGCTGATACATGCCAATACCCTAGAACTGTGCCTGGCCAGTAGGTGCTCAATAAATATTCCCAGAATATGGCAAATAAGGTATAACTTTCTGTCCTTTCCCTGATGTCACTGCCCCTTCTCACTAAGCTTCCCTGTGGACCTCTGGAAAGGTGGTTCCTTTGCCAGGGTTTAAGAGATCAGTAATGATTTGAAAGTCTATGCAATTACTTTCCATGGTTTTTTTTATCCCTTTGCTGCACTCAATGTTCTCTAGCTCAAACTTTATTTTACTTTATTATTATTATTATTATTATTATTATTATTATTTTACCTTTTTGGTCTTTTGAGACAGGGTCAGTATCTGTATCTTTTGATACAGTTCAGGCTGGCCATGAACCCACTATGTAGCCCAGGCTGTCCTTAAACTAACAGCAATCCTCCTGTCCCAGCCTCCCAAGTGCTAGGATTATGGGTGGGAACCACTATGCCTGGCTTGTGGCTGAAATTTTAAACTCCCAGATCCTAACAGAGCTCTGAGGGCTGGCAGAACTATATGGAGGGCATTTGGGAGGCAGCTGAATGAAGTCTGGGGCAAGTGGGCCCAAGGTGGGGACACACTCCCAGTATATCCCGAGGGGCCCAAGGAACCACTGCACCGGGCGTGGTGGCGCACGTCTGTAATCCCAGCACTTGGGAGGCTGAGGCAGGAGGATCGTTGCGAGTTCAAGACCAGCCTGGGCTACAAAGTGAGCTCAAGGCCAGCCTGAACTGCATAGTGAGACTCTGTCTCAAAAAGACAAAAAAAAAAACAAAAAACAAAAAACAAGGAACCACTGCTCCCATTTGGGTCCAGAGAGGAAAGCATCTTATGATCTCAGCTATGTACGCACAGTGCATTTGAATGTGTGCCCCTTTTAATATTACAGATCACTGAGTTTCATTAAGATAACAGAAAAGGGGGCTAAGGATTTAGCTCAGTGGCACAGCGCCTGCCTGGCAAGCGCAAGGTCATGAGTTCGGTTCCCGGTACCAGAAGAAAACCAAAACCAAAAAAAAATAATAATAATAACAGAAAAGACCACAACTGCCGGTGCTCTGTGGCATGGCCTGCTGCTCCACGATGCGTCTACAGGAACGGTCACACTTCGTTATCACTGCTGACCGTTGTTCTTAACTTAGCTTTCCTACCTTACCTCTACAGTGTTAACAAAGAGCAGAAACAGGTCTTAGATAACACTCACAAAAAGTCCTGTGGTCATAATATAATCATATTTCTTGATTCCTGGGTGCATATCCTATCACCTCAAATGAGAATGCATCTTGCCACTGGTAATACCTTACACTAAGCATGTTTTCTTCCTTAGAAGTAACTGAAATGTGGCCTTACCAAATCCTCTGACTTTGGAGACTAACCCTAAGGAACATGGATAACCTATACAGCACTGAACTTTCAGAAAAGGTCAAGTTCCACACACATGGAAGGCTGACCTTCAACTTCTCTGCAATGACATGTCAATCAATCCCAGCTTACATTCCAATCACCTGAAACGCGCAAAAAATGCCATGGTCTGCTGAGCAGAAAGCATAAAAAATGAGAATTTATCAACTCTTCCTGGAGACTGTGTGACCCAGAGACAAGCGGATTAACCCCTATTTCCTCTGTACAGCCGAGATAATGAGGGTTAGAAATTTACAGGTGCCAATTCCTCCCCGATGCCAGGCCTGCAGCGCAGTATGTACAAAGCCACAGGACCCGAAACAGAGGCCTCTAGCCAGTCTCACACCCCAGCCAGCGCCAGCTCCCCAGGGCCCTCACCTCACCTGGCCAGCTGGGAGACAGAGACATGCTCACCAGGTCCCTTTCCGGCTCTCTACCAGCAGAATCCTGGCTCGAGCATGTTGCTAGTCACGCACTCTGCTCTTGGTTACACAAACAGGAAAAGAACTGCGGCTCCCACAAGAGGAGGGGGAACCACTGAGCACTCAGCAGTGAGCTGGACCTCGGGCTACCTTTTCTTACTGTGGCCTGCTTCTTTCTGGAAGCAGCAGCGGGAAGAGAACTGGGGCTGGTTCTAATGGCATCTAAAAATAAAGCTGGAGGCTTCAGAAAAATGGAGACTCACCATTCTGAGTCATTGCTTTAAAAACCACAGCAGGGACACATAAACACCAGTGGCAGCCAGTCCTCAGGCTAGCAGAGCTCAGCGCACTGTCTCAAACATAGGATCAGTTAACGGAGGCAGGTGTGCCGGCAAGGAGCACGGCGCCATGAATAAAATCCACACTTCATGTGAAATAACCACTGCTGCCACTTAATGAGGTAATGAGCAAAACCACTTTCCTTGCCAGGGAGGAATGGAAGGTGAAGGGTTCCTGGCGATCTTGAATTTGAATGCAGCCAGGGCTGGGATCTCTCTGAACCTCATCAGAATACAATTTGATGACTGGTAGTTTCTTTTAGACCTCGCTCATAACAAAGGTCACTCCTGCCTCCTGTGCTCCCTTACCAGGACTTGAGATTGTCGCCAGCCTGCAGGCGCTAAGAACCCCGGTGACCCTTTAGCCCTCCGCTCCCACTCTTGAAGCCTCATGCCATGTCCCACGTAATGTACGCGGCACTAAGCTCCATGAGCCCCAGGCGTGAAGTTCCCAGGACCCCGCTCCTCCTGCACGCCTCTCCCCTCCACACAATCCAAGGCCTCTGGCCAGTGCGTCACCACTCGCCTGAGCGCCAAGCGCTGCAAGGGTTCACTGTTTAAAAAGCACACCTGACCTTACAGCTCTCTCCTGTTTAAAAATCTGTTGGCTCCCCACTGCTAGGGGGAAGAAGGCCCGCCGCACTCCTTGGCATGGCACAGAAAAGCTTCCAAACTAAGGCTCAGCGCCCCTGCCACACTCCTACCTGCACATACTTCCCGTGCTCACCGGCCACTGCTCAGGCCCAAACTTGTCCTTAGTGCCTTTCCAGATGCTCTTCCTTTGGTCAAAAACATCCTTCTTCCTTTGCCATCTGCCCAACCCTTACCGAACCTGTGAGTTCCAGCCCCTCAGACCTCTGCAAAGCCTTTTCGGGCAATGCCTGTGACTGGCGGCCACAGAAGCCCCCAAATCCTGATGTAGCCCTTAGCCCGCTAGTCCACTTTGTGACGCACTTAGGCCCTCAAATGCTTGCTGACTGAATGAAAATATTTGTTAAGATGTAATACTGATCAGTGCCAAAAGAACGCTAACTTGTGAAAATTATTTGACAAGCTGTCCTCCCTCTCTGGCGCCTGTCTGGCTTCACAGAGAGGACGGAACCTTCCTTTACCTCTTCGGGCAGCACTTCTTCTGCTTCTGCTTGGAGGCGCAGCTCTTGAAGCTTCTCCTTCAGTAACTCCATTTCGATTTCATTGACTTGGCTCACACTCAGGTAACTTCCTATTTCACTTTCACACCCATCGGGCTGGTCCTCCTCGGGGATGTGGACAGTCCAGTCAGATGTCAATAGCTGTAGGATGACCACACAAACACATGAACTGATTTATTTACTTAGTTTAACCTGTTAATCCTTTGTTTTTTCTTTTGGTGCTGGTGCCAGGAATGGAATCCAGGGCTTCATACACCTAGGCGAGCACCCTATCACCGACCCCCACCCCCAGCCCACTGAACTCATTTACTTTCCTACTACATTCTAAAATTCAGTTCTGGGCTAGGGATGGAGCTCAGTGGTAGAGCGCTTGACTAGCATGCACAAGGCCCTGGGTTCTTTCACCAGCTTACGAAAAATAAAATTGACTATGGTTGGTTTTGACCCCTTACTTCTATATGCCAGAACTGGCATATGATTTTTACCTGTTCTATTCTAGAATAAACTGCCACAATCTCTGGGATATTCTTGAATTCATTCAGAAAAGTCTGTATCTTCATCTGAAAATCTTGAAGCCATGTAGATGATACTTTCATCTCTGAAGAGTGCATGAGCTCATTACGGCACTTTATCACCTAGAGAAAGATAAGAAGATAAAAGACTTCAAAGTCAACAGGGTAAACAGATCTTGTGGTTCCACAGAAAAATTGCAGAAAGGCTTTGCTAATGAAAACATCAACAAGTGTGGTCTCCAGCTGAGAACAGACAGACCTTCCTTGGAACCATGTGCATTACCCAGCATGGGCTCGGATCAGTGGAGGACAGTGCAGCCCTCCAGCCCCCGAGGCAGATCTGTATTTCATTTCACCCTGTCCAGAGAGCATACATCAAAAAGTGAAGACCTTCTTGGGTCACATCTAAAATGCCTCCAAAGGTCAGGCATGACCTGAATGAAGCTGGCCCCGTTCAACAGCAGGGAGACAAGGAGAGATAACATTGGGACAAACTGGAGAATGGATACCTTATCTAAAGGAGTGGCCTCTATAAATGGGTGGCCTCCTGCCATGGGAGCTACATGCGCCCAGTGTCACCAGGCCTTCTCATTTCTCAAGGGAAGTTGGAAATTCAGATTTTTTTTTAATGTGGGTTTTTGTTGTTGTTGTTGTTCTTGTTGTTTGCTTTGTTTTTTGCAGTACTGGGGATTGAACCCAGGGCTTCACAGTGTTAGGTAAGCACTCTACCGCTTACTACATTGCCAGCCCTTTTTAATTTTTACTTGCAGACAGGGTCTTGCTAAGTTGCTGAGGCTGGGCTTAAACTTGTGCTCCTCCACCTCAGCCTCCTGAGTAGCTGGGGTTACAGGCATGTGCTGCCCGCTCAGCTCAAAAAATTTAAAAAGCCAGGCAGTACAAATAAAACATGACAGCAAGCCAGATTTTGGTCATAAGACTCCTGAAACAAAAAGATCAAAATCAGGCAAAGATCAGTGGTTCTGCCTTTTCCCCTTCCTATGCTGTTGGAGCAGGTTCCCAAGCAATCCACAGTTTCTGATATGACCTGCAGGCGCCTATAAGAATGGTCAAGGCTTGGGCAGATGTTCAAGCCCCTGCCATGTGAGTACTAAACAGTTTAGATCTAGAGTGTCCCTCCAAAACTCTTTCCGAGGTGAAGCTTTTGGAAGGTGATTGGGTCAAGGGGTGCTATACTGTACTCATCCCTGGATTCAGCCTCGAATGAGCTCAATAGCTGAGCTGCAGTCAGGAGGTGGGCCGGGTTAGAGGCGGGTCACTGGGGGAGTGACCTGGAAGGGTGGATCTCTCTCCCTGACTTCTCCCTTCTTCTCTCTGCTTCCTGGCGGCCACGATGCAAGCACCTTTTCCTCTGCTGTGCCCTCTGCCATGGTGTTTCTGCCTTGGAGCCAGCTATGGATGACTATGGACAGAGACTTCAAAAACCGTGAGCCCAAATAAACCTCTCCCCTTTAAGGTGTGGGTATTGAGTTGGGTATTTTGTGTCAGCAATGAGAAATTGACTAGGACAGTAAGAAATACAAGTAAGTCTGCAACTCTCTGTAGCCCTTAGAATCTTGCATGCAGCAGGCCATTTCACATTTTTCCAAATCTCTTAACTGAAAACAGTCTGTCAGAGAGTACGCATATTAACTCTGGGTACACCCACAGGCTGAAGCAGATAATACAAACATTTTTTAGAACTTGTTGGAATGCTAGGAAGTTGGGTCAAGGGAGTTTTCTGATGTGGAAACCACAATGAAAGTCTACTTCTGCCTATATTTTAAGAAAAACAGGGCTATCATATGTTATTATATAATTTATATAGTCTTCCACATTCTTGGCTGAAAGATATCAAAGAGGTCAACCATTGTGATACGTCTTTGTGTCTGTGAGGTCATCAAGGATTCTTTAATCCTTCTAGCTACTGCCACATTGGCAAATATACAGCATTTTCTCTACATATGATAAATAACGCAGGATTGCATCGATGACCAACAAAGTAATAAATGCGAAAGAGTTGTTCTCTGGTGAACTAGCAAAAAATCTAAATCTCTCAAAATATCTCACAAGCATTGTGATCTATTCTGACAATGTTATCCATTAGTATTCATATTTCCTTTCCTTTTTTTTTTTTTTTTTTTTTGGCTTTTTGAGACAGGGTCTCGCTATGCAGTTCAGGCTGGCCTTGAGCTCGCTTTGTAGCCCAGGCTGGTCTCGAACCGCCAAGGATCCTCCCCACTCAGCCTCCCAAGTGCTGGGATTACAGGCGTGCGCCACCACGCCTGGCTAGTATTCATATTCTCTTCAGTTCTGTATCATCTGATCTTGCAAGCATTTAGCCACTGAGATTCCCAAGGGCAGGATTCTGTCTGGCATACAATGGAAAGGATGGTGCATTCTGTTGTTTTTGTTTTTTCTAGTGCTGGCCATGGAACCCCGGGGCCTCATGCATGCTAGACGAGTACTCTACTGCTGAGCTACATGCCTACATAGATAGATATAGCTATAGCTATAGATACAGATATATTTAATAGAGAATATTATTTTGCTTCTGTTCATGGCAGAATAGGGAGGAAAAATCCACGTTTCATATATTTCAATGGCAAATGGCTCAGTAACAAGTCACCAGGAAACTTTAGAAAGAACTAAACAGCTCTTGTAACAAGTTGCCAGGAAACTTTACTTCGGAACAACTAAATGGTTAGCTCTTGACTGATTTGCACTGGGCATCTGAATATCACAGCAGGTGCACATGGCACAAGCCTGCCCAATGATGCCAACTTCAGACCTAAGCCTAACTTTCTTTGCACACTGCTGTTCCGGGGACTACTGTATCATGCCTACATGGCTGGCTTAGCGTCACAGGGTGTCTCTCACTGCTGGCCTTCCCAGTACGGACCTGACTGACTCAGTGTATGAGTTTGAATCTGATGGCTCTTACCTCTATGACCTTCTTTCGATCAACCATGAAGTGATCGCAGGAGTTGATAAAACTTAAAAGAGCAACTGCATCACATTCCTCAGGTCCTCGTTTGTCTGTCAGTCCTCGGGGCATGAAGGCCTGTAGTAGGGGGAGGGACGAGGGGCACCTGAGTCTCCTCCAACTCTAGGAGGCAGAGAAGCAGTTACTCGCCTATTTCCCAAATGATGACCAAAATTCTTTTATACACTGAGGTTTCAAGTGAGAGCCTCATAAATCCAATATGCAAGTGAGGAAACAATGTCATAGTTAAGCCTCGGCCAGGGGCAATAACTAAAGAGCTGTACTATTCCTCTCCTATTAGGTACACTTGACATAATTGGTTTTCTGTTCTGTTTTAATGGCACGTAGGCAGAAAGAAGGTTCTTTTCCATACTGATATTTTGGTGGCTGAGTTGTTAAGAAGATTTAAAAATAATGGTTACTCCAAAGTGGATGCTTTCTGAGTGATCTGAGAAAGTGTAGTATGGTAGCATTAAGAATCTGGGTTTCAGAATGTGACAGTGCTAAATCCAAATGTCGACTTAGCCACTTGGTAGCTGTGTGACCCTAGGTAAGCTGCTTCTCCTCGGCCTCCTCATCAGTAAGTGGGATAACACTTTGAAGGCTACTGTGAAAATTCAGTAAGTGAGTGTAGGCTGGGCATGAGTACAGTGCCTGGCACATGCTTCTCAACAGGCCATAAATGCTAGCAATGGCAGTGTCAATGGTATAAGTAGGATCTACATAGGAGCTGCAGAGGGAATCCCGGGATTTGAGATACAGTGCACACCAGAAGGCCTTGTTTTAGCACAATCTTGCTTATAGTGGGATTTTATGGCCTGGGCCACAAAAATGGTGCTACAGCAAGACTCGGGCATATTTCTTTCCTGAAATGTTTCTAAGCTTCCATCCTGACACAACTTTACCAGGCAAGGCGTCTCAAGGGTACATTCTTGCCAAGGGAAAGGAACAGATGACACACGAAAAATGACTCTCAGAAAGAACACTAACTAAGAGATCTGTTGCACTGAAAACAAATGCATTTCAGTACACAGGCAACTTTGCCACCTCCTACAGTGGGGCTCGCACTGGTATTCTGGAAATGCCGGGGCTGCCTGCCAGTACACCCCAGGGCTCATGGGTGATTGTCTTCCCGATGGTAGGGAAATCGGAAACCTGAGCCGCAAGTAGCTAAGGATTTTGTGCACATTAAATGGCCCCTACAAAAAGTACGGGAGCCAGTACTATCTTTCTGTGTCTTAATAGCCCGGGACTGACCGACTCAGAAAGAAGTCTATTATAGGTGCTACAAAGGAAACAAAGAAGCCAACTAAGTTATCACAAGCAAACTAACAATACAATGGCAGAAAAGAAACTCTTTAATTCAACTGTTGCTGAGAGGAAGCTGGAGAGTTAAGAAGGGTTCTTAGTTTGCCTCTAAGCCAGGCCGAGTGTTTCCTTTTGCATTGTGAAGGGGGTCCTGGCCGGCATCTTGTCACAGGTAGGAACCAGTCTCTTCCACTTTACAGCTTTATTTTCATAATTCTTCCCTTTCCTTCAGAACTGGAAGCCAGTAGGGAGGCTCTGCTGCTTCCTTGCAGTGAAAGCAGTTTCTTAAACATTATATTGCGTGATCTGTTCGGCCTAAAACATTCTTTGAATTCCCTGAGTCTGTTGCCCTTCTGCACAATGAGTTATCTTCCTACCTGTGGCTGCGCCATCACTTTTTTATGTAGGAAACTAAGCCCAATACATGTGAATATATGTGAATCTTTCTAGAGTTACAAATTTCAGATTTCTACTGTCTAAAAACACATAAATATTCCCAGCTCCAGACCTTAAGGTGCCTCTCTCTCCCTTTTGAAGGCACATGCTCTAGTTCTTTGTGTGTGCACTTTTAAAATTCTCCCTAATGAACTCTTTTTTGCCTCTAATTATACTGCGTACCACCACGTCCCCTATAGTGTGCACACAGGTGCTACTCTCTGACATCGGCCCTCTGTCCGCCCTCTGCCGTCCCTTCACTGCGTAGGATGAAGCGGGAGAAATTCACAGGGGCTGGATTATGCTGGCCTCGCTGGCTTAGGAAGAAGTGTTGAGTTTATTCCAAGGCCATCGGGAAGTCATGAAGGCCTGGGCATGAACAGACAGGCTTCCCATTTGCAGATGGCATATGCTGCTGTGTGGGGAAGCAACCAGAGGCACCTGGAGCAGCAGAGGTGGCAGGTAGGGGACCAAGGTGGAGTCCAGGTGAGAGTGTGAGGGGTATGACACGTAGATGGAAAAGAGGAGGAATCCAAAAATGCTTTGCAGGTATGAACGGGGGTAGGGTAAGGAGAGGGAAAGACAGGGAAGCTGGTGGTGGGAATAGGGGTTGTGGCGGGGGGGGGGGCACTTTCGACACTGTAGGACCAAATACCAAGTCCCGGTGAGGCAATGAAGTGGGAGGGTCAGGAAAGCAGGTGGATACATGCACCTGGAGTCCGGAAGAAAGGGCAGGACTAGGGACAAATATTTGGTAGTTAGCAGCACAAAGGCAGCATTGAACTTCATAGGCCTAGGGAAAAAAACAGGGAAGAAAGGGGTAGGAGAGGCCCAGCCCAGGGACCCAAGGAAGGCTAAGAAAGAGCCAGGGAGGTTGGAGGAGAAGCAGGAGACAAGACGTCACAAAGCCAGGGTGTTTCAAGAAGAGTGGCCAAGCAGTGCCACTGGCCAGAGAGGGAAGAAAAATGAAGGCGGCAAAGGTCACCAAGGCAGCAGGGTGGCAGGGCAGTGGCGGGGCAGGGGCAGGGGTGAGCTGCAGAGTCCCGGAAGCCAAGGAAATGAGCACAGGGCCCAGGCCACTTCCAGAGCAGCTCTACTGAGCATACCTAGAGGAGGCAGGTGGAGAAACAGGGAGGTAGCTGGCGAGGGCGGATCAAAGGGAAGCTTGTAATTTTTCTCCCAAAGCTTTATTTTCTAAGTGTTTATTCGAGTGTTTTTTAAAAATAGCTTTATTGAGATACAATGTGCCCACCTACGGTGCACAGCTCAGTGGTGTTCAGCCACAGAACTGTACACCCATCACTGTAGTCATTTTAGAGCATTTTCATGGCCCCACAAAGAAACCCCATCATCTATTAGCTACCACTCCCATGATACTCCAGGCCCTGGCAATCATTCATCTGCTTCTGTCTCTCCAGATATGCCTATTCCGGGGGAATGAGTCACGTAATAGACTACACACATAAACAGGCTCACACAATATATGACTAGCTCCTTTCACCTGGCACAGTGTCATCAGGGTTCATGTTGCAACAAGTACCAGCACTTCATTCTTCTTATGGCAAAATTATATTCCACAGTATGGATTCCGTTTGTCCTTTCATATTTCCAGCTTGTAGCTACTGGGAATTGTGCTGTGTAGAATATTTGTGGACATGTTTTTGTGTGGATATATGTTTTCGTATTTCTTAGGTGTGTACCTAAACGTAAAACTGCTGGGTTATATGGTAACTCTCTTGATCCTTTCTTTTTTATTTTTATTTTCTGTCAGTACTGGGGTTTGAGTTCAGTGCCTTCTCACTGAACTACAGCCCCAGCCCCAGCCCCAGCCCCAGCCCCAGCCCCAGCATTTTGAAACAGGGTCTTGCTCTAAGTGCTAAATTGCCCATGTTGGCTTTGAACTTGCGATCCTCTTGCCTCAGACTCCCAGAGTGCTGGGATTACAGGTGTACACCACCATTTTTCTTGTTTTTTTTTTTTTTTAATTAATAAACCAAGGTGAGATCTGAGCCATTTATAAGGTGATGAGAACAAGCTGGGAGGGAGAAAGAGTGACAACCGAAGACTTCAAATCCTTGGGCAGGTGGGAGGGGATAAGACCTAACACCTAAGTACTAGGACAGGGCAGTGAGAGGAGACCCCCTCCCTCCTTTATGGCGGGGGAAGATGGCGCACAGGCTGGCAGGCTTGGCAAAATGATGAGCAGTCCGTGTTTGGGGGCGTCCATCCACTCCAGGGAGCCGGGGCAACGTGTGCGGCGGGGTGAGGGTGGAGGAATGGGACTGGGAGCTGGGTGGGGAGAGCTAGGAACAGGGGCCGAGAGGGAGAGAGGCATGGCCCAACAAAAGCGAAACCAGTCAGCTCTTTTGTGAAATTCTCGCCTGAGCAGAAGCAGATGACGGTGTCGTTAGGGCTGGAGTTGGGCCAGACAAGTTCAGAGAAAGGAGAAAAAGACCGGGCTAACCACAAGGGACGGATTACAATGCTGCACAGGGGGAACTGGGTGGGGCTGCTCAGGAGACAAAGGCAGGCAGGCAAGAGGACAGGGCCACTGAGAATAGAAAAAGCAGCAACAGCCTCAAAGATCAGAGTACAGGGACCAAGGGTGGGGCCAGGAGTGTTTGAGTAAGTGTGCCAAAGGCGAGCAGGCTGTTAAACAGTGAGATTTCCTGGGCCCACAGGGTTCAGGGCGTGAATCTATAAGACAGTACAGTGGACCAAGGCTGTTAGAATAGGAGTCCCAGGAACTAAGAGAATCGGGTGGACTCGGTCTGCAGGTGGCCAGCAACAAAGAGAAGACGGGCGTGGTGGCACAGGTCTGTCATCCCACCACTCGGGAGGCTGAGGTAGGAAGATCAATGCAAATTCAAGGCCAGCCTGAACTACATAGTGAGACTCTGCATCCAAAAAAAAAAAACCCAAAGAGGAGGAAAAAGTGGCACAAGCAGGTGGCACTGGCTTCAAGGTGATTCCAGGGCTTAAAAACAGCAATGGAGAACAAATAGGTGAGGGGCAGTCACAAGAAAGGGTAGAGTTTTGTTTCTTTAAGTTTTCTCTTTCCTAGGTAAACGCTGACAACTCTGTTGCGGCAATAAAAAAAATGAGAAGTAGGGCTGGGGATTTAGCTCAGCGGCAAAGCGCCTGCCTGGCAAGCGCAAGGTCGTGAGTTCGGTTCCCGGTACCGGAGAAAAAAAAAAACCAAAAAAAAAAAAAAAAAAAAAGAATTGCTTGAGAAGGATGTAGGTGTGGTGGGTTTACTGGTCCAGGACAGCCAAGTCTGGGCACCGCCGGCACAGTCTAATTGCCTCATTTTTGAGGTTAGGGAACAGAGGCTGCCCAACATCTCCCCAGCAGCTGGCGAGGCCTCAGATCTCCTAGGTGCCACCCCAGCTGTGCGACTCCAGAAGTCACTTTGTGTTGGGAAGCCACTTCTCACTGCCCCTCTCCTCCCGCTAGGGGCTTCTGGCAAACACCAGGGAGTCAGAACACCTGCCCAGCAAGCCCAGAGAGGAAATCACATCGCCAAGAGGCGAGGACTGGTCTAACAGTTTCTGTCTGGCTACTTGCCCCATGGCCGCTGTCTCAAGGTTTTATTCTTTAGCTGGGCACTTCAGGCCCTTCCTATTTTATCCTAACTCTGCCATCCCCACGACACCCCGTATCCCAATGAACCCACCCCCAAACACGACTTGCATCTCTCTTTCCATGCCCGCGCTCACTCTCCATCCTGCCCCGGCAGCTCTTGCTGAAATCGTTTTTATAGCTTCTCAAGCGTGGGCAGCAAACTAAATGCTTCTACTGCACTAAGCTAGACAGGTCCACTCTAATAGCTTCCAACTGCCTGGACACTTTTCCCCAGATGAACCAGCCACCTGTGCACCTCTTAGGAGGCCTCGGTCTCCGAGCCGACCCCTAGCGGCTCCCGGGCACCACTGGACCCGCCACGCCCTCCTCCCCGCCGGCTGCAGGTGCTTACCTTGGCCACCTCCCAGGCGTCGCTGGGCCAGCGGCTCGGCCGGCAGTTTCCCCAGTGCACGTCTCCATTTCTGTTGACGTGATGTCTCAAAATCTCCCGCTTCCACTCCGCGCACACCTGACACTGAGGCTGAAACTACAGGGGGCGGCGGTGAGGGGGGCCCGGAGGGAGGGCGGCGTCTGGGAATCTGAGCCCGGGGCTTCGCGGCCGACCCCGCCCCGCAGAGAGAAAGTGGCACCGCGCTCCAGGACGGGAACCGGGATGGGGTGAGGGCCGGTGGTCAAGGTCCCGGGCCAGGTGCTCACCTGGCGGGCGCGCGGGCTGCACCGTGATCCGCCGCGGCAGGTGGCGCGGGGGCCCAGCCCGGGGGTTGCGGCGAGCAGGCTGCGGTGGAAGGAGAGCACCTCGCGGCCAACGTAGCCCTGCAGGCAGCTACGCAGCAGCAGCAGGCAGTGTCCCGCCTTCACCCAGTTCTTGTACTCGGCGCAGTTTAGGCGCACAGCCAGCTCTGACAGAACCATTTTCCACTAGGCCCGGGGGGGGGGGGAACGGTAGTGCGCAGGCGCCGGAGCCTGGGAGCCATCCGAGGCGCAGGCGCGGCCCCGCCCAGAGGCCGTCACTGCGCAGGCGCGAGGCTGCGTCACCCAGAGGCTAGGAAGTTTCGTTGCCGCGATATCTCGCGTCCACCCCATTTTACGTGGTAGCTGTGCGTAAGTACCTTGGCTCTAGTCCCGGTAACCTCAGCCTGAAAGCCGTAAGTCCCGTGCACGGCCCGGAAGCTGAGATCCAGACCCTGCCACTTCCCTGATTCAACTCCCTCTCCTGATGTAGGGACTCCTGATAATCTTTATTGTAGAGACATAGAAAGTGCTCAAGGCACATTTCTTGAATTACGTATATTCCTTGCATGTTGCAATCCTGAATGGTAGTTACCGCGTTCCTAAGTCCGCAGACTGGCTGTAGCAAATTTAGGCATTAGTGAAACGTGACCGCTGGCTGCCTGTACCGTGCACCCATCGTGTGCCCGCGGTGTGCAAGGCTGACACAAAGCTCAAAAACCCCGTCACTGGGCTGCCTGGCAGAGGCACAGCAGGCAACGTGTTACCTGAGTTCTGGAGGGCACAGTCCCAAGCCAGCTAAGGCCATCCCAAAGCGTCGGGGAAAGGCCAGGCGATAATTATCTAGACCACACAAGGCAGTGTGATTAAAATTTCAAGTAAGAGCCACAGGGTTATTAGGTTGTCAACTCCAGCTGACAGGAAGTCGTGTCAGGTTTAGCTCCTTTTGGTGAGTTTCTTGGGCTTGGAAAACGTGTGTAGTTAAAATTGAAAGAAGAGTGTAAACACTGAAGCCCTCCCCTGACTGCTTGGTTCACAGCAGGCAGAACCAAGTGCTCTGAAGCACTAGTTCTGGACTTAAACTGCCTCTTCTTAGTCATCTGATTTTCAGCAGTCCTAACTTCATTCCAAACAAATTACTTCAATCCTTTGGGGCCCATTTATCATCTGTAAAAGGAAGGCATTCATACTTACCTTATGGGGTGTTTGGGGGTATTAAACACACATTGCAAACGCTTAAAGCAGTGCCTGGCACCTAGTAAGCTCTCAGTAAACATTTATCTTACATTGACCTAAATAAAAAAGTAATTTCATCAATCACTTAAATGCTTGGGCAAAGCCGGGCGTGGTGGCGCACACCTGTAATCCCAGCACTCGGGAGGCTGAGCCAGGAGGATTGTTGCAAGTTCGAGGCCAACCTGGGCTACACAAAGTGAGCTCAAGGGCAGCCTGAACTGCATAGGGAGACCCTGTCTCAAAAAAAAAAAAAAAAAAAAAATTCTTGGGCAAGGTGTCTGAACAAATCATTTGCCACTTGGAAGTGGAGGCAATTCATAGAAAATTGTGAGACCATGTGTTCCTGGAGAAGTGCAGTAGAGCTGGCTGGCTTCTGCTAATCTTGTCTTTGAACTCTCAATGCTAACTCCATCCTAAGGGAATTCAAATCACACCCTTTGACACCCTGTCCATTCCATCAAATCAGATGAAAAACTTCATAGGAAACAATGAACCTATATTAACACTTTTCCTTTCTATCCCTTAAATTTAAGTTCTTTTACAATTTTCATTAGATTAACAGCATATCAAGAACACCTGAAGCCTGGTGCAGTAGCATGCACCTGTAGTTTCAGCTCCTTGGGAAGTTGAGGCAGGAGGATTACTCGAGTCTAGGGGCTCAAGGCCAGCCTGGGCAACAACACAGCAAGAGCTCATCTCTTAAAAAACGTGCAATGTGTATTTCTTTGGGAAAACAAGAAACATGAAAGAACAATGTTTATGTTGAAATTGTATCAAAATTCAGAGTAGCAAAGTTCCAAGTATACTTCTTCAAGTTACCAGTTTGACCAGTCCAGAGAATGACTATTAGCATCCTGCAGGTGCACAAGTAACTGTGTTAATTGCAACAAAGTAAAGTTGTTAGTGGTATTTAAATTCGAAATCGTGGGGGCTGGGGATTTAGCTCAGCCGCACAGCGCCTGCCTGGCAAGCGCAAGGTCGTGAGGTCGATTCCCGGTACCAGAAAAAAAAAAACAACAAGAAAAAAAAATAATAAATTCAAAATCATGCGTATATCAGTTTATGCTTTTGCTTAGCTCACTCAGTGTTCAAACAAGGTTCAGGTCCTGCTGTGAATAACTTGGTATGTTCTGTTGAAGTTTTCACTTTCCTTCCTAATTCTAAAAGCATTTCTGTGTGTTTTACAACAGCATTTCACAGACAGTAAAAAGTTGGCAATCAGGACTACTTTCTTCTTTCAAGGCTAAACCAGACTACAACCCAAAACATCTTCACCAAAATTAACTAGAGAAAGTTGGTAGTTCTCTGAAACTTGTATAAAATTTATTCATTACTGTAAATACTAAAATCACATTGAAAACATCTAACAGTTAAGTCCAAAACCACTTACTGGAGAAAATCACAATGGGCACCCAGTCCCTTTGACTGAACCTAGGTAACAAAAGAGGCAAAAGACATGGTTTGTGATGAAACTTACAATTCAAATTCTAAATGCTGTCAAGCTTTAATTAAGTTGTGTATCACTTCTAAGTACCAAGCATGATATCAAAATTCAAATTTATGGGCTTAACCAGCATCAAAAGCAAATTCTGTTCACTGCTTTCTATGTTTTGATCTGCACAATGCATTCAAAGACAAGTTATAATTAGGAAAAAAGTGCCCAATGAATGCATTATGTATAAAAGTGCAATTAACATTTTAAAACCACACTTAAAAAGAAACAATACCTGGAAAGTCTGTTTATAAAATTACTGAAACAATATTAATCTGCAGCTAAAAATACTCTTCTTGTATAGGACATGTAGATTTCTACATCAAAGAAAGGGTTCAGCATCCAACAGAAAAGGGCTGACCCTTGATAAAGACGTTTTAGATTGCCAAACTGATGGCGAGGACCGCTGTAAGGAGACAGCAGAAGGATAAAAAGGTAGGCTAACGGAAGGGTGAGCCTGTTCCTGACTGGTAACAGAGGTGAGTGAGAAGCAGGAGATGAAGGCAGAAATAAGACATAGAAGAAAGACAGAGGCCTCAGCTCTAACCAGATGTGAATGGAGAACCAAGCAAAGTTGCAAACAGATACACTGTTGCAGTGAGATGCTTGAAAGTAAACTTTGGTGGTTACAGAAACTCCAATCATCTTAAAGTGGAACCAGACAAAACATCTAAAATTTAATGGTGAACCAGTATTATAGTGTCAGATAACTCAGAATGGTATATTATTTTAAAACCTTTTCCAAATAACATCAAGTCACCAGAAGATCTTCGCTTCCGATCATGTTCTTTGAAGCTCAAAAAGTCCCTGACTGGGAGAAACGGGACAGTGCTCCAAAAAGAAACCCCGCTGAGATGCATCGGTACCCAACACTCCACTGGACCCTGGATAGGCCTGAATCTTGGACTCTTTGAAGACTAGACCAGGTTTCTTCCAAGTAAACCATTCTATCATTTTGTTGATAACAAATTAAATTGAGATTGATTGAAAAACTCCAGTTTTGTTGAGGAAGGCAAGGAAAAACGAAGTGAGATAAAGAAATGGCACAGAAGCTTCATGCAAGAGTAGAGCACTAAAGTTCCTTGTGTCCTACTTAATGCTGTATGCAGAAGTATCCTGTAAATAAAATGTGCCTAGCAGGAAAGTTCCCACATTCTCAACAGAATAGAATGGTTGTATTATTTGGGACCCCTTTAGTATAAATCACTTACTTTCTCTTCTCAGAGACTAGATCAGTGGTGGCGAACCTATGACACGTGCGCCACAGTGGGCTGTTTATATCACTGCAAGCTAGAAAAGGTTTGCCATCACTGGCCTAGATTTATTTTGTATCCAGATTCTACGCTGAAAGACAACCAATGTTGTCTAAATGTTACTGTCAGTTAAGTTAGGAATGTTTGAAGAAAATAAATTAGCTTGAAACAAACAGGATGGTTTTGGTCAAATTTCAGACATGTATTATTAAAGATTAATTATTAGACCCACCAGGTTAAAGATGAAGGGAGGCCCTAACAAGTCTAGAGAGCTTATACACACACAGTGAGTGTCATTTTTTTTAACCTAGTTTTATTAAATATTGCTTCTTTGGGATGTGTTTATAACAACTCCCAGAACATTTTCATGTAAGGATTCAAAGCGGTCATATTAAAATACAGCTTCAATATAAAGTTTATCACAGTTTTACAGTATTCAAAAATGACAGACCTGCCTTAAAAAACAGAACAAAAATAAAAAAGGACTATTACACCCAAAACATAAGAAAACAATTAAATAAACAAGTTTGGCATTTTCATAACTTTATAGTATAAAACAGAATATTAACTCTATTACTGGCAAGTGGACACTGATATATTACCTAGTTTGAAACGTGTCCCATTTAAACACACTATACAAGTTCACTATACAAAAGACTGATGATCTTTTTGATGAAAGAAGTGCACCCTGAAAATTTTTGCCAGTTTAGAATAGTTATCTCTTAAAGTCAAAAAAGTCCTTTTTCTTTTTTAAATTGAAGGCTGAATTCAGACTTTTTTTTTGTTGTTTTGTCTCATTTGTCAGCCTTCCTGGTTTAAAAACAATAGTGTCTATGGACGCCCACCAGGGGGCAGTGTAAGATTAGCCATTAAATCACGAACAGCTGCAAATATTGTGCATTCACCTGCAACAGAGAAAAATGGTCATTAGCTATTCGCAATACAGGAAAGATGATGTTAACACACCGGTGGGGGAGGGTAATTAAATCTAAAATTAGTAAGAACTTTAAAGATCAAAATAAAAGGCTGACTTTTAACTGTTCAGACTACAGGGGACTGAGCTGTGTGGTATGAAGTATCAGATTATATTTGGCTTGCGTTTTGTTTTGTTTTCCCCCCTCAGGAGAACATTCTGAGTGAGTCCCAGTTAGATTTGAATTTAAGGAGATATGCCAGGCGTTGTGGAGAAACAGTGTTTCACTGGATAACCCTTTAAAGTTAAGCTTTGCTCCTTATG